ATATATGTATGGGACAAGATGGCAAGCCAGGCAGGAGCACAAACGGGACATAACATCAGACCGAACAAAAGGTGCCAACGAAAAAAAACTGTTTCGGAGTGCCATACCACATCCGTGTTTCGTAACAACTACCAATGGCCATTTTGATGATGTGAGTAGGACATAAAAGAGTCAGTGGCGCTCATCCCACATTTTCATTTTCATGACTTTGTACAGGAAAGAAGAATAAAATATCGCCACAAATCCTCTCTTTTCTCCACGTTTTATCATATAGCTATAGCTCTCGGTGATGAACCATTCGACATCCGTTGTTTTGTCTACGTGTTCTTTGAATACACAGTGTTAATGTGGTAAATGACTTCTAGCTGAAAATGTCTGGTGTTTGGTGTAATAATGGTACAGTATGTTTGCTCATTGTTGCAGAAGCTAATGGAAGACTATAAAGACCTTGTGCTTCATATCAGTTTAGCTGCTTAGAGAAGCAATAAAAACTGTCCTTTCTTTGAGCAGGTTGAGTATCTGGAGCATCACATTTCTGGGATCAATAAAATGCCAGAAAAAGAGAACTTTCATGTGAACCTCGACAGTCTATTTTTGTTCTTAGAAATGAAGGCTATTCAATGCGAAAAATTGTGAAGAAACTGATTTCCTACAATGGTGTGTACTACTCCCTTCAGAGAACAGCACAAACAGCCTCTAACCAGAGTAGAAAGAGAAGTGGGAGCCCCGCTGCACAACTGAGCAAGAAGAGAACTACATTAGAGTCTCTAGCTTGAGAAATAGACGCCTCACAGGTGCTCAACTTGCAGCTTCAATAAATAGTACCCACAAAACACCAGTGTGAACATCTACAGTGAAGAGGTGACTGCAGGATGCTTTCCTTCAGGGTAGAGTGGGAAAGAAAAAGCCATATCTATAGGTGCTTGGATCACACATAAGAACATTTGTGTGTATCACAAAACAATTGAAAAGATGATGGAATGCTAACATCTGGGTAACATGATGGTCTGGGGTTGCTTTGGTGCTGGTGAGGTTGGAGATTTGTTCAAGGTAAAGGGGATTTTAAAGGCTATCACTTGGCATGCCATACCCCGTGGACAGCGCTTGATTTGAGCCATACAAAATGTGCAAGAACTATTTAGAGAAGAAGCAGCAGCTGGTCTTCTATCTGTAATGGAGTCACCAGATCTAAACCCCATTGAGCTGTTGTGGTAGCAACTTGACCGTATGGTACGCAAGAAGTTTAGATTACGAGATTCCTTTAAAAAATGAGAAAGATCTGCAATGCTGTAATTGCTATGTTCGACTATACCAGGGGTCGCCAACCTTTTTGAAGCGGAGAGCTACTTCAAGTGCACTGAGTAATGAAAGGGCTACCACTTTGATAACACACTTCTGAAATCAGAAAGTTGCACAGTTCACCTTTAATTTTTATATTAATGACATTCTACGTGAGGACACTGATTGTTAATGATTAATAATTTATCAATAAAGATTCAGAATCAGTCAACAAGATAGGAAACAGATAAACTTAAATGTGCAATATTTTATTTCTTATTCACCTTTCCAATTGTTTAATTTTCAAATTATAACTTCCACAACATTTTGCAGGAAATCACGTCCAATTTTTCAAGACGCTTTCAGTTTTTATCAAATAATGAACTTTGCACCATGTTTGTACAAATAATCAATAATCTAAGATTTCACAAAAATCAATTCATTTTAGAATAAATCTGAACACATTTGAACTAATCACTACATTTGCAGCCATTAAAACTAATCATGTCTTTTAAACTTAGTAACACATCTGTAACAGTTTATCATTCATTTATATCATTCTATCTTTGCCATGGCACTGACATTTGACTGGCATCTGTCATTTGTTTCTTTGCGTGTTAGTGGGAAGCCTGGCATTGCATGCTCTTCACCAGTGTACTGTAATCTGGGATGTAAGTTGATACTGCAACTCTTCAGTTGCTTATTGAGAGTTTTTCACCGGCGTTGTAAAAAAAGACCAAAGCTGTTTGGCCAAAGCTGCCTTTAACTCGCAGGATTTTCCTTTTCATAGAGCGCTGCCGGGTGCGTAGTTAGCATCGTAGCTTTTGTGACAAGTGCTGAAGTGACTCTCAACGTTACGTCGCTTTGCCGTCGCCACAGTCGCACCGCAAATGAGACCCACACACTTTTCTTTCACATTAGTAAAAAAGAATTCTTCCTCCCATTCACTATTAAAATAATACGTTTACTTCCTTTTTTCCGCAATTTTTATGTGGGTAGAAACCACTTTCGTATCCTCGTCTTTGCAACCCTCAAGACCAAGGCTAAGTTTGTCATGCGCACTAGACTGACCTTTGCCTTATTCTCCTATTAGCGAACTCTGCTACTTCATGATTTTTTAAAAGGTTTTTATTTTTTTTTATACGTTTTGTTTTTAATTTACATCACTGTAAATGCAATTAAAAAAGAATGGCAACACAATTTAATCAAATTTTAGACAGTGATAGTTCGTGATTAGTTCTATTTTTAGAACTGGCTTGCGGGCGACTGATATGGTCACTGCGGGCGACGCGATGCCCGCGGGCACTAGGTTGGCGACCCCTGGACTATACAGTGGTACCCCGAGATACAAAATTAAACCGTTCCAGGGTGCCATTCGTATCTCGAAACATTTTGTATCTCGAAATGTTTACAAGTTTTTCATGTAAAACACCTAATCCGTACAACGGCTCTCAGAAACAAAAAAAAAAATCAAGTAACATTTTACTATGGATTATTAATGATTCTCGAAATAATTCACGAATTATGAACACCAACACGGTTGGTGCGTAGACAGTACTGATCGTACTGGAGAGACTCCTCTGAGAACGCGTCACAGGGTTTCTCTAAGTTGCGCTACAGAACAGCACTTTTCACGTTATAAACGTTATTTCTTTTACGACGCCTTGACTCTAACATTTGTTATTGCACATTATTGGTAATCTATACATAATGTTTCGCTTGATTTAAAACTGATTTAAAGTGTTTTAAGGCGTATAAGCCCCTTAAAGCACACTTTCTGCAATGGGAGAATGGAACGCCAGGACCCGGAAGCACAGGGTGACGTCAGACTTAACAAGCGGATAATAGCGCAGAACTGTTGGTGTTTCTTCGTATCTCAGATTTTTTTCCGCATCTCAAAGCAAAAAATTTCCCGCGAGACTTTTCGTATCTCAAACATTTCGTAACTCGAAGCATTCGTATCTCGAGGTACCACTGTATTGTTTATTCGTTTTATAACTGGTTTGATAAATTAAATTGTGACTTGGAAAACAAAATAGTCTGGGTGACCCCAAGCTTTTGAACCGTAGTGTACGCTAACATTATTAACCTTAATTCAACCCTTGTTAAACCATCATTTTAGGTTTTGGCTCTAATCTGGTTCACTCTTCTTGTATTTTATAAAAAAGAAGTAATAAAACATCCAGACTTACAAACAACAGACTTAAAGAACGTATAAAACCATCAAAATGTCTGTGATGTCATTCAGAGGGTTCTGAAAAAGGAATTTGATGTTGAAGTGGGCATAGCCAGCTGTCGTCAACATAACAGTGCACGCATAAAATATGTAATTTCATAAAAATATGCACAAAATGGGACACAGAGTTGCGATGAAAGCTGAAGTCTTTTGCTGTCACTCTCCTGCCCACATGCTTAATTATGCATAATTTTAAGGCTTAATATAACCTAAATCATTGAATATTAAAGATTTTCACTCCGCTCAGAGGACAAAATGCTATAAAACCTAGTTGGTTACAGGCTGTAAACATGTTTTTTTTTCTGCTGAATTAAGATTCACACACTTTTATTATCTGATGATCTCCACCATGAATAAAAGCTTTATCTCTTCATCAAGAGCTCCTCAATCTCTGCCTCATAAAACACTTCACCTAGTCACATCACAGCCATCAACGTTTTCCCCCTCGTACACAAGATAACCGTAAGCACACTGCACCTTGTCAACAATCCATTCCTTCGTTTATTTATTTACCTACTTCTCATCTCCCTCCGCCTCGTAGTTTATCAGAGAAGCTCAGTGCGAGTAATCCGTTGCGGCAGGAGAGAGAGAAGGGAGTCTGTTGGGTAGCTGAGTCCTATCAGTAATTGTAATCTTAGGTCTGACATCTTCCTGCATGCAAAGCCATTAAGACTCGCACGCTCTTGGAGCCCAAGCCGGGCCAGAGCTCAGGTAATTGCCAATGGGGCCTGCGGCTGGCAGGTGGAGTGGATAGATTTTATCCCCAGTTCCCTGCTTCGTTTCTTCCGCTCTGTCGTCGCTGTTCATGAAGGAGTCTTGGATAAGAGGGAATTAGGTGCAGGATTAGGTCTTGTGTTGTCTCTGTGTTTGTAAGTGTTTACTTATCACTGTGTCGAAAGGGCTTTTTTAAGTGTCGCAGGGTTTTCAGTTAAGCATCTTTGTAGCAATGGAGAATGCCTCTCTTGTTTCCATGTCAACCTCAAAATGTCAATGTTTATGACAGTAAAATGGAGATTTGTTGCTCTAAGCTCCTCAGCCTTTGAAACTTTAAATAAATGCTAAAAGTTTATTTGTTTAGGTCGTGTTTATTACCACTTTGTCAAGCTGCTTTGCCAATGTTATGTGCAGCTTTTGGAATTGTTCCATTTTAAAGGCATGAATATCTTAATCTGTTCATTTAGATGTCCTGAAAGAAATCAAATTTTTTAGTTAAAATGTCCTAATTATGCAGAAAATGTGCAATTTGCTTTTTTTTCTAAAGATTTATTTATTTATTTATTGGCGTTTACACAGTTTAGGGCACTTCCTTTTCTTCTTTTTCGCTTGTTTCTCTCAACTTGACTCACTCTTCGAGGCTGCGCAGTACTATAGTACCCTGAAATGCATCTGCATCACGTAACGTCACATTTATGCGTTTGGCAGATGCTTTTATCCAAAGCGACTTACATTTGAATGAATGAACACATGTTATTTTTATGACTTCCTGCTTTCCCTGGGATTTGAAACCCACGACCTTTGCATTTTTAGAGCGATGCTCTACCAACTTAGCCACAGAAATCATCAAAATTATTGGTCTCTTATCGACCCGTCAATCGACTTGATACATACTCGCACAAACTTTTTTATAAAAGTTGCCTTACTCCTAATACAACAAAATCACAATTGATCTACATCCACTCCAATAACAGCAACCCCATTACCTTAAACGACGCTGTCTTAAGGCCTTTACACACCTATGCGTTTGCTGCACTGCACTTTTCATCATCAGTTGCCTGCGTTTTTCTCTTGCATTTAAAAATGAGTGCACAGACTCTATCCTGAACACTAGATGGCACTTCATTCATTAATTTTCCTGCTTTTATTCCCTTTCGGGGTCACGGGAGTCTGCTGGTCTCCAGCTCACATCGGGCGAGTGGCCGGGGTACACCCTGGACAGGTTGTCAGTCCATTGCAGGATGGCACTTCAAAATCGGTTTCAGACGCACAATTTAGAATTCATGTCCAGGATTGCATGTAAATCGGGTTCGTGTACCTGTGTGACAATCGTACAGATTGAAGTACCAATGACTTGCTCTGCAAGAGTCAAAAGGCTAGTGAGATGCTTCTCATTTATCTTTGTCTGTCCGCGAGTCACAAACATGCAGTGTGTTCTGACTAAAATAATGTCTGTGATTATCTGCAGCCAATAAGAGCCATGCACATCCAGAAGGCAATGTGAAATTGCAGAGATACAAAGGCATAGACAGCAATATAAACAGTGGTTTCATTTCAAAAGGGAGTTTTTTTTCTTTTTATTTGGACCCAAAAAATCAATGAGAAACTTGCACGCTCCCATTCTTGCTAATAATTCTCGCATGACCTTGCACAGTTTTCAAATCTTTGTTGCGAGTGCTTGGTTGCGAGACTCGGTTTTAGAAGTTCTCAGTTTAAGAAGGGCTAGTCTCTTCGTCCAGATCTAATGGGTGGGGCTGCAGATCTGTGCCCCCCCCCCCAATTCTAGGGCGGAGAAGACCTCCCTCTTATTTTACGTACATATCAGACACATAGGGACTGGGGGGGTGGTGCCTGGACGTCATCTGTCAACCAACGGTGACGCTCCAGGACATCATTTCCCACTTTTAACCTCTTAAGCCCGAGAGTCCCCGGTACCGGGGACTTGCCCCCTTGTGCGTTACATTTTCACTCATAGCTCACTAACCCTGAGAATAACCCACACATATTAAATACTGTTGTGTTCAGCGGAAACTCCTCTAAAAACGTATCTAATTCAATTTCATATCCGTTAACCACAGCTCGAACGCCATGCAAATAAACAACAACATGTCCGGAGTATAATTCATGACCAAGTTTTTGTTTATGTGCGATATGTATCCACAATATAAACGGAAACACCAAAACCATGGCATCAAATGAAAGCTAACAACCAGCTGAATCCAGCGATATGCAACTCATTTACATTGCATGAAGTCTTTTAGAGCAGGGAGCGAAAATTCCCCGAAAAAACGCCAGCGAAAACCAAGCAAGCATGTAAATCTTGTCTTACCTTTGCCGTTTTTTCAACAAAAAAGTTATTTCCATAGCGAAAAAGTCTGTTTGTTGTTATGTCCGGTCGATAGCTTCGCGAAAACTCCATTTTGTATTTTTTCTGTTGCTCCGTGGCCTCATGACGTCACCAAATATGGAATGACTCCCCGTGCGTAAGAGGTGGTCTCTCCACGCTGCGCGTCGTGTGATTCGTCAGCGATCCCATCAGTCTCAAAATGGTTGTCATCATTGGCTGCCTCAGAATCAGAGCTTTCCAGCGATATATAGAGCTCCCGGATTGGACAGATGGTCGGGTGGTAGGGACACGCAGAAGCTCGACGTCAAAGCGTTTGTGAGTGAAACGTTCCCAAAAGCACAGCAAGATGGGGTAAATGAGCTTCCACCCCCCTTTTACAGCGTTTCTTTAGGAGTTTTTTTTGCTGAAATCATGTCCCGTAAGCAAGAAAAGAAGACTATGAACGTAGCTGAAGCTTTGGACAAGATTTTTTCCATATTTCAGTTATTGTGCCAAATTGTGCCAAACTGTGCCAACATGGATTACGCCTGAACTTTGTTCAATCAAAACCTTTACAGAATATTAGTTTCTTGTAGTATGAACACCAAACTTGCTACAGATGTCCTTGACATGTAGTTGTTACAATTGATTGTGTTTATTTGCTTCGTTATAAGTAAAATAAGGAGATATTGGAGGAAACATGTGGGTTTTTTTTTAGGCGGAGTTCATTTTTTGGCCATTCCAACATCAATTACTCTTACCCAGTGTTCTTGACTGTCAAATTAACTCATCCACACCACTCCCCAAGAACCTATCTTCATTTTGCTACCAAGATTTGCAGTTTAGGCCTTGTAAAAGCTGAGAAATGCCTTAAAAAGTAAAAGTATAGGATTTTCGGAAAATAGGCCTCAGGGCTTAAGAGGTTAATGCAACTTACCTCTTCAACATATACAAAGACGCATACACTACACCCCAACTGGGAGCAGATGATGGGTAGTGGGTGGGCGGTCGTCTCCGTCTTCCGTCCGGGGTGGGTAAGTGCCCTCGGTCAGCGCGGGCGTGGGGGATCCCTGGGTGGGCATGGGTCTGTGTCGGTTCTCGCAGCACACTTGGGCATAGAGGAGTGGGGGTGATGCATGGGAAGTTGGTCGGCCACTTATGGGTTAGCCCCCAAAAAAAGCAACATAAATGGTCTGCTATTATATAAAAATGAGAATGTCAATCTTAATAAGCAGTTTTCATAGTTAAACACATAACTTTATGCTATTGTTAAATAGTTATGTAGGAAAACATAGCTTACAAAAGATGTTACATTTGTAAACAAGTTTTTTAGCAGTAATTTTGGGAATTTTAATAGGACAGTCAATGGGAATCAGCTCACTTCTGGAGTCAGCCTCTAGTTGTCAGTCGATGAACTGCAGCATTCTTCACTTCCTATTACGCACAACTGGGGGAAATCAGGGGGTTGCAGATTAATTCAAAGCCAAGTTGTACACAAAATCTGAGTACAAGCTCAGCATGTCTCCAGCGTAAGTAAAATTTCACTTTTTGGATTGGTCCATTTTCATGGACCGTAGCATTTGAAATGATGCAGGAAATGATTTGAAAAGGGAGACAAATCAGCCTTGTATTCCCCAGATGAACTGCTTGGCAAGACTCCTCAGAGCTTTTTAAGGAAAAACTGTGATAGATGATGGGGAACAGTATCATTCCGGGGCAGGTGACCCCTGAAGCCACATGGGGTTTTCACTGCTAGCCGTACTCTTTATCTGCCATTCAATAAAGGAAGATGGGCATATTAAATTTTTATACCTCAAGAGTACCTGACCGTTCTGGTCTGATTCCTGTGCTTCTCCCTCTGGTGCCGCACGAATTCTGACCCTCTGTCAAATAGCTCCTCTAGGTTTGTCTTGTTGCTCTAATCTCTTTTCCCTCATGTCATCAATATCACGTTCGAGGCTCCGCTCGAAAATGACATGCCCTCTCTTTGGCACGGTGGTCGGATTGGGCTGAGATAAGAGCCCAACGTCGGCAGAGAAATTATTCATGGCAGCGGCTCAAGAGAAGCAAGAGGCGCTTTTTTTCTACTTCCCACACGACCACAGCGGTGTGCACTCCTGGTAGTCAGTTTGAATATTAAGTGCTAATTTATTACGTAGCTGGGAGCTACATGTTAAATAAATGGAGACGAGTAAATAGACGAGGAAAGCGGGAAAGAAGCTGTGCCCAGATATCAGATGGCAGCACAGCACATCAAACCCAGAGGGGATGACGGCGTACAAACACACACAGCAGGACACAATAGATACACCGGTAGTGTGTCTGTGTTTGTGTGAGAATACGCAACAACTGTTACTTTGAGTGAGTTTCAGTCACATAGCCTCGAAAACTGAAATTTAATGAACTTTTTCAGGAGGCTCGGGTTAATTGCTAGATGCTTGCTTTCACTTTTATCTGTACGTTTAATGCGCGGAGAGCATTTAATTGAGGATTATAATTGCTATTGAAGCAATCAATATAAATCTGCAGTTTTAATATGTCTTATATAATTGTGAGGTAAACATTTAACATCTAAATCAGATTAGTTTCCAACTGTTGAGAAATTTTTAATGCAAGATCCGTTTTCAGAGTTTGACAATGTGTAATGTTTATTTTACAAACCAAACCCATAAAACGATCCTTCTTCAGTGGTAACAGGTGGGTGCATGGGTTAAATCTCATTTATTAGTAGGGGACATAGCAAATACAGTGGTACCCCGAGATACGAAATAATCAGTTTCAAGGTGGCGTTTGTATCTCAAACATTTCGTATCTCAATGCAAGTTTTACATGTAAAACGCAGAATCCGTGCAACGGCTCTCAGAAACAACAGTATAAGTAGATGAAAAAATGAAAAACCATTTTTTTTAATGTAATAATTGATAATAAAACACATGCAAAATACGTAATATGTACAGAAATGTGAAACCTTACCTTGAGATTGAAGTGATGTGTTGAAGGAGGTAGAATGGTTGGGAGAACACATTACAGCCCTACGTATGAAAGTTAATTTTCTGTAGATATTTCACGAATTACTGACACCAACACGGTTTTAAGCACAAGCGCATTCTGACAATGCGTCTCTAACTTGCGCTACAGAACAGCACTTTCCACGTTTTAAACATTATTTCTTTTACGACACCTTAACTATAACATCTGTTATAGTACATTATTAGTAATCTATACATAATGTTCCGCTCGAACAGAATTCAATATTCCCTCAGACCATTTTTTCTAGAGGTAATCTCCAGAGACGAGCCTCTGTTTCACCTTCACTGTGTCCATTCTCATGTCTAGTTATAAAAATTAAGCCCAAAGATCGTCAGCTCTAATCCATTTTTTCCCGTCTCCACACTGCGCTGCAGTCACATGACTACATTTAGTATAATCGCAACATTTGCTGTAAAGTAATCGCATAGTCTGACATTACGATTAGAGATGTTCCGATACCATTTTTCCCCTCCCGATATCGATCCCG